CAGTTTCGACATTTCCAAATCTACAGATCTGGGACTGTGCTTGCTGGAAAGCTGAAGACTACTCCTGCCAACCCTCAAAGGATCAATGACATCAAAATTGAGGAGGTCACTCAACTGGTAAAATTGAAATACCCTGACTTTGCCATTTATCAGACAGTCCCCTCATGTTACGGAGTTACAGAGAAAAATGATTGTACTAACCATGCCAATGTGTCCACTAATTTGTCCAGATAATGCTGACAACGACTGTGAAGAGGAAGACGGCCTTCCCCCATATTGAAGCTTTGGAGGGGCCAAGACACGGCCACGGACTTCCATCATGTGGTTTGAGATCGTCAATCCAAACTCTTGTACATAGGCATCATTGTTAAAGTCAGCTCTGCGAACTAAGTTGTTGATTTCTCGTTCTCTGTCGGGTGCTGATCTGGCAGTAGCTTTAATCATGGTTGAAGTCTGCATATCAGTCAGCTTTTTGATACAACGCTGACCAGCAACAATGTTGCACACCTGAAATCAATAGCTAACATGAGGCAAGAGAAACTAAATATTGATAAAGCAGCTGTAGGACAATTAATTACCTCCAGTGGTAGGTAGGTATGTTTGTGTTCTTGACCGACTTGAAGACAGGGTAGATGAGGGTACCGTAGCTTCATTTTATATTTGTCAAGGAAGTACTTAGCAACTGTACATTCAACAGTTTGACCATTTTCCAGTTGCAAGGGGAACCTATGAAAGAAGTTTGTAGAAAGTATTGAATAACTAAGAAATAAAAATTCATATTTTTAATGATAAAACTTTGGCTTACGACTGCATCTGTGATGGCCGACGAGTAACATTACAAACTCTGTACTTGCGTCGCATAGTGCCACAATGAGTTATTTCAATTTTCAGGCCCTTTATTTCTTTGGTGAATTTCACACGTTGAGAATCAGTCAACGGCTTCCTCTGTTCATTGATATCTCTGATGTCAAGTACCTCACACATAAACTCAATAACAGGCTGAGCCTTATAAAATGCAGTTGCAGAAACTAAAAACATAGAACATTAGAATAAATTTAAGTACAATTTAAGATTCTAAATTAATTGTGTGGATTAATTAATATCTTTTTAATCCTACCATCAATGTTAAGCATCATTTTCCATTGACTTGGTCGAACAGACTGATGAAAACCAAACCACACCTCTCGGCCTCCACCTAGTGGATGATAATATCCATCTGGGGATGAGAAAAATGATCTACCCACTGGTGTGTATGTCATTGATGGTAAGTGTCTCATAACAACATCCAAAGCCTACAAGGTACCAACAGTTAGAGATCAGAGAAATTGACAATGCAATACTTACAATTACTGGGCTCCTGCTAGTAAAGACATGCATATAACAAATTGAATACAAACCAAAATTGCATCATATGGGATCTGCCTTGTGCGACCTTCAAGAGCCTCTTCTAAAGCGAAGAGTGACACTTGTGCAACCCACTTGATATTAACACGAAAAACACGGTCTTTACCCTCTCCAGGCAAGGTCACCTCTAATTCTACTCTGTCATTTCCAATCGGTAGGGGATCTCTTGTGTACAAATTGTTCCGTCCATCAAAGACCGGTCTAAGTGTGCCGAAAATCTTACTGTAGGCATGTACCTGCAAAAGACAATTGTGTTATACTAATAGAAAAAAGAAATATCAATAGAAACTGACAGTTTTCAACACCTTACCATAGTTTCAATAATTTCACGATTAACTTTTCTAGGACATTTGTCTGGTTGTATGTTGATATCATAGTGGTGCACAAAGCCACGAGGCATAGTGACTTGAAAGTGATTGGCACGCAACAGAATGGTTCGTCCATCGCGACCTAGATTTGGCCGTCTGGGGCAGTTGAACACTGGAAATAAGACCATTTATCGTTAACCATTGATCACTAGAGGAGAAGATTAATCAACAAAGAAAAATCCACTTACTAGGAAGTTCTGGTGCTTGTGGTGGATTGGGTTGGTTGGCAGGTCCTAGAGCTCCAGGTGGGGCAACTGCAGCTGGTGGACCGACAGCCCCAGCTGGGGCGACAGGTGGTCCACCTGGAGGAGCTGCAAGTCAAACACTTAATCAATTGACTTACATGTAACCTACACCTTACAATCTAAAGGAACTAACCAAACTGCCTCATGCATGCAGGACTATTGGGCTAACTCAAAATTTAGCAGAACAAAGATTCACAAAAACAAGGTATTTCCCCAAAATTAAAACTAAATAAATTATTAAACACAGGAAACCCTTCCATACAGAGCTTGATATAACATCCATCTTGGAGGCTGAGATCCCAAGCATTAAAATTATCCCACAAATCAATTCTAATTTAAAAGCAGTAAATATCTTATTGAAAAATCACGCAAGACTCAAAGTTGACAAAACAAATACAGGAACCAAAAGCACAAAAAGGGCAAGAAAATTTCTTTCAGCTAGGCCCCAGCATGAGGTATGCAGAGATAATTTAAATTATTGTGACTATAAGCAGTATTACAAAATATAAAGGCCAGAGGCTGAAAAAGTATCATTACCAATATCAGGGGATGTGGAAGTCTGCGACCCCGGAACCGTGGACTGCCCTGAGCCTGGCCACGTGCTATCATCTGGTGCGCAAACGTGAGCAAAAGGTGAGCAACAGCCCAGCAGACAGCGAGCCAAGCAGAACCAAGCCAAGCCACTGCCTCCCAGCACACTACAGCTTAATACAATATGTAGAACATGAAAGTGTAGTAGATAACAGTTTTGAAAAGGCAAATTACAGCTCTAAAGTTCAAAAGTAGTTCCAATACAGGTAAGTTTTTTTATTTTTTTATTTTTATGAAATTGAAAAATATACGTGAACACGTATTTGAAAAAAAAATGGAGGTGCTTGAGAGCTGCAATTTTTGCAATGGCTACACAATAATTGGTATTAAGCTGTAGTATGTTATACGAGAATACCAGCTTAAACAATGTGCATAAATAAAATATTTACAAGAGTGTGGAACATTTTATAACAACTTAATAGAAGATAATACAATTATCTGAAAAAATCAAAACCTCATTATTCAAAAGTTGCAATTTAAGTTAAAGTAATAAATTGAATATTTTTGTGTTTCATATTCTTTGAATGTGTAAGGAGTCACCGAGAAATCAAAGAAACAAAATTTAACGACCTGCAACCTTGATTTTAAATAGGCACTACCACCTACAGAACACTATTAAAAGAATGGTAGCAACACTCGGATTGTAGTGAGGTATAACAAGAGACCAAAGAATAGACAACAACAATGAACCATTCATGGTGTCAAGGCTGAAGTTGTCTAAAATTAAACATGGTAAATATAGAAATATGATTTACTTGCAATGGCAAAATAACAAAAATACTGAGGAAATGATTAAACTAGTATTTTGGTTTTACAAAGCAAGCCACTTTGACAGAATAAAAACAAACAAATTTATAAGACCAAAAACCAAGTTCTGGAGAAAAGGAAGGCAAATTCAGATCATAAATGACAATCTCTAGATGATGGCTGGAAACCCAAAAAATGAATCACCAGCGTGACATGAATGCTGCATTATTTGGAAATGTAGGCTGGAACGTCAAGGACGGGCCTAAGTAGTCACAAGAGATCCGGTCGGATTGCACTCTCATAAACATACTAGAATCACTTCTTACTTCCCAGCGGCCGCGAGGGAATGCGAGATAGGGGGAAAGTAGTGGGAAACTCATCTTCGGCCCAAACTAAAGCGCAAAGGCGCAGAATACCGCACCTCGGGACTAATTTCGGGAGCTCCGGGAAAGGTCATCAAACCCGTGGCCGTGCATTGTTTTGATCAAATAAGTGCACTCGTCTGTGCGGGCCGCCCCGCACTCTCTGCAGGAAAAGAGGGCGGCCGCCGACGGCCTGGGAGGGCTGGACAGGACCCTGGGCCACAAAATAGGACGGGAGAGGCGTTATTGACCTCCATCGGGATATCAACTTAGGATCGGAAATACCCCACACCATTGACATCATTGCAAGTAATTGACATTTCTCGAGGGCCGCGAATGTCTCCGAGGCATTAAAATGACGCAGTAATGACTTACGTGGGCCCACGGGATACATCTTGGACGTTGAGGACTAACTAGGTAATGATAAAAGACACAATAAATAAACTCAACACCCCTTCAGCCACGATGGGCGACTTCTCTCTCTCTCACAGTCCCAACATGGCGTCAGTGACGTAAAAACACGAGAGTGCGTTCTGTTGTGCACCTGACGATCGGGGTCGGGCACTGCGATGGAAGTGGTCTCAAAGGTGTCACACCTCTTTAAGCAAGTCCGCTCGTCACAATACTAGCCAAGTTTCTAGTTAAATTTGAAAACGGCGATTGTCTGAACTATCATTAGTTAATGTAGTAAAGTTACTATGAGAGAGGTTTTCGAGAAAAGAAAAGGAATTTTGCATTTCGTAGTTGGCAATGTCCCTGCCGCCGCCATCTTGTAATGCAGACTGTTGGCTAACCTGTTAGGTGTTCTAGACTTGTGTCGTCGTGCTATTATGCTGCATGAGACGAAAATATCATGGGAATATTTAAAATCAATGGTGTAGTTGGAAAACAAGTACCGTCGGCATTTAAACTGATTGTAGAACAGCTTCAAGATATCAATTTGAAAGCTGTCAAGAACGTAGTTGTAGCGTACGATCCTTTCGACGAGCGGTCCGTCGCATCAAGGTATCTATCCGATGTAAAACCCATAGAATTTTATCCATCTGTTTTTTTTATTGTTTTTCACTTAAAATAACTTAAGATATGTAAAAGGTGTAAACTATGAACTCATAGCTGTGCACTCAACTACAAACTTTACTGTCTAGTAGCTCAGTTACTCACCATTGATGGGCCCACAACCAAAGTTCTTGGACAGAATGGAATAGGGTCCAGCATGTGGGATCGTGCCATTCATTTGTGGAGGAGATATTGATGTGAGGGGTGGAGAGCCACCAGGAGCATTAGGTGTAGGCGGAGACGACATTTCAAATTGTTCCGAGGCTTTCCTGTAGACAATATTACAAATAAAACTTATTAATACCATCTTATTTACAGGAAATTCTTGGAGTTTCTGAACTTCAAGACTGTGACCCGGAAGTTCCCAGATTTCGCAGCACAGACCCAGATCAAATGTGACCGTAGTGAACCAACAATCTCTTTTGACCTAAGTAAATCCTCAGAACATGAACAAATTTCTCTTATGATTTGGCTAACGTTTCTACCTCTTACATTTAAAATCCCTCAGTTACAGGTAAAAAGGTACTGTTTAAGGCTGGCAACTTGACAACACTGGAAATGTTCAGGCTCTACAATCAGCACATCACACCTCACGCACCGGAAGAAGAAACACAGCGGGAAACTCTGACAACAAAAGCTATGAGGAAAGGAGGCAAAAAGTGAAATTGAGTGATTTTTCTTGATCGAGAAGTGTTGACTTGAAAGAGCAATGGCGAAGGGCAAGAAAGGATACAATATCCAACTAATCGACCATCTCTACAACCAAGTTCCAGCATTTACTGACATTTTTGATGAGGAGACTTGGTATATCTTTGTGGCATGTTTTGTGGCAAGTACAATTGTTTTGGCAATTGTGCTCTCCAGATTTATTACAATCAGACCAGTTGGAGGATAAGAATTTATTCTAATGTATGACATCTTCACAACTGTGACAGGTGTAATTAATTTTTCTTCTTGTTAGCTTTGTAGTGCATTCATCAAGTTTTCTCATTTGTTCTTTTCGAATTTTTAACAGCCCTCAGAGATAGACATTCCTCATTAAAGGGACTTAAAACTTCTACCAAAGCTTCACCCTTTTAGGCAGTGTGTAAAATGTGATTTTATAATATGTAGTGTGCTGAATAAAATGTAAAAAGGCATTTGTTTACTTTTTTTTGCCTGATCCCACTCTACGCTGTTATCTTTACTGGATTTAAAACAATAATCAGCAAATTATAAAACCTAAAAGTGGATTATTCATTTCCTTACGCTAGCCCATGAACAAGTTGCAATGTGGTCAGCAGTTGGAGGGATCTAAGAAATTTCAGATGACAGCAGAGTACTGTAAATAATAATATTTAATACTCCAAGAGCTTTTACACTGCCCGAGGGGTGGTGAAGAAAGCCCCTCGCTAGGGGGTGCACATAAGGAACAAAGGGAGATGCTGGGTCAGCGTCAGAGCGGCCCAATTCAAGTTCAATGAAGTGGACTCTGCGACGGAACGGTGGCAGAGCACCGCGGCTGTGCAATTAAAGTGTTTAGTGCCTTTCTGGACCTTCAAACAGCCGGTGCGCTAGTGGCACGGAGTCTTGACGAGTCTTGGCTCCATGCTAGCGGTGCGCTAGCGGTGCGCAAGCGCCGATGGCCCTCGCGCAGACTTCGTTCATTTGTGTAGCGAATTTGGCCGGCTGCTGAGCAAAAGCGCGTTAACACGACCGGGCAACCCCGCTGAAATGAATTGCGAGACCAAAAGTGTACCAGATCGCGGACACAACGGCGTCCTAGACCGTCCCGGCTCCGGCTCGCGGGCGCCACTCAGGGGTAGCGCTGCCAGCCAGCTCTGCGAGGCTCTGTTTATTGCGCAGCTGCAGCTGGCGTCCACTAACCCAACTATTCGCGAGTCGAGCGCGGCGGAGTACGAGCGTCGCGGCACGACAAAGCCTCCGAAGAACCGCGGCCGCTGGTGTCACACGCAGCGAGCGACGCTTCCATCGCGGGCTTAACCAAAACAACATTACATTTCAAGGTCACGCACCCTGCCTGCGCCGCGCACCCCTCGCAGCCTACCTAGCGCGGCCCGGCCAGCCTAAAGCCTCAGGCCAGCGGCACCAAACCTCGCGCTTTCACAATTAAGCAGCCCCCCCAACGCCAATGGTACTCACCGCGGACACCTCGAGACGACGTCGATTTAAAGACAGTGAGCTAGACCACTTGGAATAGATTCGATACTGTGACACTTGTTTGGCAAGTTCATTCTCAAAACAAAGACTTCGGGAGGCAAACTCGGGAGCCTTGTCCTAGGCCCGACTGTGGTGAAGCCCGTGCCCGTGCGAACCGAGCGAACGGCGGAACGGAGCGGAGCGGCAGCGGGCAGACTGTACTCCTCCCCCTCCCTCCACTCCGCGGAGCTCCGGGACGGGAACCTACCTAGCTCGCTAGCGGGCACACAAGCGAGCTCGCTCCCGCTTGCCAGTTTGCTTTCATACATGGGACTAGAAATTTCTTGCGAAAAAAACAAGACGTGGCCTCCAACTGAAAGAAATTACCTACCAAGTTTTGTTAATGGTTGAAGACAGTGTGTACTGGATAACCAATCAATTCTGAGTCCACGGCGCACTGGCCAATGGCGAAGCAGTCCTTCGACTCGCAAGCCAATGGGAGCGTAGGCACGGGCGCGCCAATGTTTGAATGTGGTCCACGAAGGCACCATCGTGCATACTTCAGAAGCGAACCTTCCGGGTTTTGAAGAATGCCAGGGCAAGAGTCTAAAAAGTCCTCAATCTGTTGTGCTGCGCCTAGCGGATTGTTGCAGTTCCACATCGAAAGAAATCATGTTGAATATGTCCCTTGTTTATTTCTTTAGAAAATACAAATCTACATACATATAGAAGGATTTTCAGACCATCTCCAAAATGAACAATATAAATGTCTTCATAATCAAACTTATGATTAAAATATAAACCTGGGTTAATCTTTTTTCAGCTACTACATTGCCAATGACTACCAGTCAGTCCATGTAAATGCAAACCTTCCCACAGTAAATAGTACACCATTCCTTCCAGAGGCATTGATATCTGATGAGTGAAAGTGTTTCATCTGACTAAAATTATTGTATTAGTTAGCAATGTAGCAAAAAAAGTTAAAAAGTTTCACAACAGGCTTTCATAATTAATCCATAGACATGCCCTCATCATCATCATCCTTTTTCTTATCAGGAGTTTTAGAATCATCCATCTTTTTTTTCTTTTCTGGTTGAGTAACTTCGCCAGGGCTAGCATCTGTGGCACCAGAGGATCCTCCTGCAGAGGGAGTGCTTGGGGAACCAATGCTGGTTCGCTGAAGGGCACGGACAAAATCTTCCATGTTACCACGGTTGGCAGCTGAGACTGCATCACCATCTACATCAAATTGGTTGATAACATGACCAATTTGACCAGACTGGAGGGCATCAGAGAAACTGCTCAAAGCCTGCAAGAAGAGTTTAAGAAATCATAATCTTCAGGATCAAATTCAATGATTAGGTGCAAACTTCAACTGTGAGATATGGAAAAGACAGTTAAAAAGTAACAACAACAACAGAAATTTGGAAATAAATGTAGGGCTTCTACCAAATGTGAGGCTTTATCTTACAGCAACACATCCCCAGTAATATCAAGCTCGCATAATGTATGCTCCTGCGCAGGTCTCCAACCGAGATTTCAAGGAAGAAGATGCGATGGAGCAAAGTAATAAAAAGGAAACAACAGTAAAATTTGCTTAACTACCTGCTGAAACTGAGGTGAAGTAAGAGTCAGTCTTAATCTTTCCTGGGGATCACCAGAGTCCTCAATGGGTGATGGCAAATGCTGCTGCAACTCACGAACAACAGCAGGATTGCTCAATAATGGTTGGATACTCTCTGTGTTTAAGCCAGCTGCTAAATCCACTAGGGAAAAAAATGCAAAAGAAAAAATTGAGATTATTTTTACAAGATTTTACAAGATCATTACTTTGAGATCAGAGGGAAAATACCTGCTTGGCGCTGATCACCTTCAGGATAAGGACTAAGAGACGACAGGAAATTGCGCAAGTCATTCAGCTGGATGGGATTTTGAGTCACTTGTTCATTAATATTTCCTGGAAAATTAGGAGCAATCAAAATGTGACAAAAGTTAGAAAATAACAATTCATAGAGATAGAAAACCGATTTTGAAGAGTCTTTAAAATTGATAATGTGTCTCAGCACTGAGAAAAACCACTAGTATTTTGGTGATAAGATTTAAAATGCGCTCCAAGAAGACATTTTCCCTACACAGACACAAGCTGGAATAACTCAACTGTTAGAAGCAGCAGGCTTCGACGAACTGGTGCGTGATGAGACCGGAGTGGTCGTAACACTTGATCCACTTGTACCTGTGGTGGCAGCAGTCGTCGTGCTGCCTGTAGCTTCAGCGGCAGCAGCAACAGCAGCTGCAGCAGGAGTGCTAGATGAGCCACTGCCGCTGCCACTACCACTGCTGCTACTGTTCTTGTTGCCTGAAGAGGATGAAGATGACCTCGGTGCACTGAAATGGGAAACACATTGAGTTTAAATACATATTCTTCTGTTAAAATTGTAGACATAATTTAGACAAGTAATGTAAGAAAGTTAACTGAATAACACTGGCCATCTTACTTCATGGTACTAAGAATACTTGACAGTCCTCCCATTTGACCAACGCCCCCAAACAACTGAACAAGCTGTTGTTGAGACATGTTGCTGAGAAGATTTTGCAGGTCTCCATCTAGGAACAGAAATTATATTATCTAACAAAGTATAAGCATACATTAGGGGGGTTTGGTTGAAGGCAATAAATAGGCAGATCCATCTACACCATTAAAGGTGCTCTCTAGCTGACCAAAGTAGTGAAATTAAAAACTACTGTCAGTTGTGGAAAAGGAACTGAACTCAATGAAGAGATTCCTTAGAAAGAAAACATGCTTACATTATAATATACTATTAATTTTATGGTACACAAGCAAAAAGTCCACATCTTCTGACACCTATCCTGTCAGCTCTTTAGAATCCGGAAGACAACCCAGAAGTATTGGCCTGATCTTAGGTAGAGACTCAGACACCCAGTAAAATAATTTATATAGCTTTGGTTCTTTTAAGAAAAAAATCTTCACAAAGTATATTTTACCTGGAGTGCCTCCTCCACTTCGATTTGAGCCAGGAGTGGGAGGGTTGTTAAGCACATCATTCAGTTTGCGGCAGTTGTCATCGTCTTTCTCAGTCTTAGGTTCCTAAAATAAGTGTTACAATAAATGAATTCAGAACAGATGAATGATACGGAACAGAGGATAATTAATGACATCAATTAGAGTACACATACTAAAAAAAGGCTCAAATCTCAAAATACTGAGAGAAAAAGTACCTGAACCCAGAAGAAGAACTTCTTGTTGGATGACTTGAATTTCAAAACATAGACACGTCCAGTAGTACACTGATTCACACGTTTGAATTCACAATCATCCGGAAAGATAATCAAATCCTGTAAAGATAAACATTATAAAAGTGTAACTTAATAAATGATCAAACGCTTGCCAAAAAATACTTTCACCCAACAAAGCAGAGGTTAAGGTGGACAGACTAGTTGAGTCAGGTAGTTACGTATCAGATGAAATAAGGATTCCTACTCACATCTTCAATGGTTCCAGATTGCCGATCCTTCCAACAGAAGTGCATAAGCGAGTCTTCAGACTGGTAAACGTAAAGCAAACCCTTCCTCTTGTCTGGATGAACCATCTTACCCTTCATTGTCATTTTACCGGCTTTAAACTCCACCAAATTTTTATTCTGAGAGCGCGAGCTCGAATTCCCAAATAATGCTCCTCCTCCCGGCATTTTGATAACAATATTTGTCTCTAAAGAATCAACACCTGAGGAAAATATTAATTTTCCTCTGAAAGATGCCTTGACAACTCAACGACCACGACACGATCACGATGACTCGCCTCACTCGCCCGTGTGTTTAGGAGGTGGGGGGGGGGGGTGTAGGTGAAGTAAAAGGAGAAAAAGCAAAGTATGCCCACCGCCTTGTGGCGGTCGTACAGTCGCGCACAGCATGAGGGACTGACGACGGACTTCCCTGAATGATGAGCAATGCCGCTGGCTGGGCGTTCATCTCTCATCCGACATCCGTCTTATTTTCGACATAGCACTGGACCGATATCCTACACTTTCCCGACCATCTATTTCCTTCAAGCATGGTTTTCGCAAGATGCTAAAACGTCTCATGTTCGCAGCTGGAGGAGTGAGAGCACTCGGCGGTCTCGCAAAAACAATTTTTTAATAATGGTATGCCGCAATGGGTTGGGTTTTAAACTAAGATACCACC